GTCCCTTCCGACCCTACCAACTATGAAACTATGAAACTCTGTAGAGACTTTTAGAAAATACCTTTCCAAATTCACCCACATTATAAGCATTTCCTAATAGGGCTAGATTCTTGCTTTATTGGGAGCAAAATGTATTACACTGCAAAACTTGATGAGACACCAAGGACATGTTTGTACCATCAGATTTATTTAAACTGGACATGGAAACTGAGGATGCACCCAATAGGGTTTATGACTAGAAAGCTATCATATATGAGTAAAAAGCACTAGTTATTTGTATAGTCCCATCTAAAAAAGCAAGGTCCTACATCTATAAGATACATAAGAAAGATTATCAGTGCTTCGACAAGTGAGGACATGAAATTTTAATAGATAATAATGATTTTAGCCATCTATTAAAATTTCATTTCCTAACTGTGAAGATCTTTTTGATGATTTACAGTTATTCATTATTTTACACTACATTTTCCCACTAGGGCTGTTGGGACCTTTCTGTTTATTTTTTGTTTTTACTTTTTATTTTTTAAATCCTTTTGCCAATATTTTACTGTTTGCTTATTACTTTGATTCTCTGTTTAGCTTTTACATTCTTTAAGGCAGGCACCATCTTTTCAAATGTGTTTCTAACCCATAGAGGTTTTGATGTAGACTGGGGCCTTTGAACCTATGTCAGTACAAGTCTTAATTTAAAACTGTCTTGTGTTATTCAGTTATGGGAGGCTTACCTATGTTTGATTTATATTCTGCTGTGTGTTTAATATATTCTGTGAATCCACATTAAGCATGGCATTATAGTTGAATTTCTAAAGCTGCCATAATGAACCCAGGAATAAGTACCCTGTTGTACACTAATGTAGTAATGTTGGTTGAATTGCATTTTTTTAATTTTCATATGGTATTTAAAACCAGAGGTCAGTTTTTGGTACATGCTCCTTTTCCCCTCCCTCTTCCTCCCATTTAGGTGCATAATATCTACACAGTGAAATATTGACAATGAGATGCTTTTATGGCTAATCTGTTCTGCAAAGCTATTTTCTTCCACATTTCTGAAGAAGATGCACTACCTGTTTTCCGAGTAGAGGAGAAACTAGGGTGGAAAAAATAAAACAGTTTTCTTTTTACTGAAAACGTGAAGCTAGAGAACAGTAACTTGCTTCTTATTAAATCCACCTCCTCTTGAAAGCGTATTTCAGGATAATAGTCTCTCAAAAGAACTCTTAATAACAACATGATATTGCTAAGATGCTTGGGTATTAGATAACATTAAAGACACCAAGTATTTTTTTAAAAATAAACTCCCCTTAGAAAAATAACCCATATTGCAAATAGCAAGTTTGCTAAGCCAAGGAAAGGACAAAAAGAGCGTATTCTTTGGAGGCCCTAGCTAGCAATCTGGAAGCAGACAGATGTAGCTGTTAAAACAGCCTTTACTGTTTTAACCCTCAGCTCTGGGATTTGGATGCAGGTATCCCACTGAAACACCACATGGGACTGAGCCTTTAATACCCTTCAGGATTTAAATCATATGGGTAGTCAAAACTAATTACTTGATTGAGAGTTTTTCTGGGGAGGGGCTCCACGACCCATCCCCAAAAGATAAGCAATTTGAATTACTTGTTTATAGGGTGGATAAAAAACAATGATTTAAAAAAAATTGGATTTTTTATTTCAATCGGATTTTTTTATTTAATTGTATTTTTATTTTTAAGATGCTTTTGTAAAAAAATGAAACATATAAAGGTAGTTTTTATTTAAGATATGTTAAAGCTCCAAGATATCATTATGGAATAGGGATTGTAACTTCTAATTATATACTATTTG